GGGCCATGAAGGCTGTAGGGCCATGAGGGGCTGTAGGGCCATGAGGGGCTGTAGGGCCAAAAGGGGCTGTAGGGCCATGAGGGCTGTAGGACCCCATTTCCCATTTCCCCATTCCTGTCCTCACCCCTTTGCTTCCATCATTACCACCAAGGCTCCTCACCACCTTCTTCATCCCACTCTTTTCCCCCAAATCCTTTCCTACTGCGGTACCTGCAGCTCAGCTCCTGTTCCCCTTGATTTTAAGGGAGGAATCTCAAATGCAGCAGCACAATAGGGAGGAAAATCACATCCAGGCATGTGCTGAACTGCAAGGGAAAACTGCTGAGTGACAGCTCAGCTTCTACCAGTTACACTCCGACATTTTATAAAGCCTCACCATTTGGGAAGCTGAAATTAGGATGCAGAGCCCACATCCCCTGTTGGGGTTACAGCCCCTGCTACACAGAATGACAGGGACACCCCTTTTCCAAAAGAAAGACTTCCCGACACCCAAACCTCGTGTTGATACGAGAGCAGACACGCTGGGATGGATATTTCACCCACGTGAGATGCTCTGCAGCCTCGCAGAGGGTCCCTGAACATCAGAACTAAACCCTCCAGCACAAAACAACTGAGAAAAACCCCAGAAGAAAAGGTTTATTTACTGAATGCTGCAGAAGAAGCCTGATAGGTTCTGTTCTCGGTCCCAGTGTCCACTGGGAGGTGGAAGGTGCCCTCTGTGGCACAGGAGGAGGAGGTCTGTGGCCAGGCTTGCTTCATCAGAAGTGTAGCTTGAGTGAGAAAGAAGAGAAACATTAGAGCAAGGAAGACATGGCCACCCCCATTCGTGGCCCACTGGAACCGCTTTGCTGCCCTCCTTTTTCTCCCTCTTTTAGGACAAATTCATGTAGGAATTTCATACTGGGGTATCCCATGGTGGGATGGTTTGTGCAGTGTGTTGTAGTGAACTCATCATCTCTTCCATATGACCTCTTCCACAAAACCCACCACCTCCTCCATAAAACCCATCACCTC